TCAATATGAAAGGGGCACTTTTGTCCTTTATCATAATATAGGAGGTCAAGTGCCTATTTATTAAGTTGAGAAAGGTGAAGTGCAACTAAGACTCGAAGAGTAAAGTTTAGGAGGTTTAATGCTTTTAACCCTTCCTAATATTGAGATGTGATTGCCAAACATTCTCATCCATTCCATAATACATACTTAACTAGTATTTTGACTTGTGTTATGCACAGGTTTGCATAAAAAATATAATTAATAATATTTTTATAAAATTATACCAAAAAATGAAAAAGAAAAATCGAATATGCACCGTTTATATTGAAAAATTAATTATTATGAACCTTATATTAAGGAAACCTCTCCAATTCTTTCATTTTTAAACTAATCTTAACAAAAATAAATGTGATTATTTAATTACTAACACATCATAGAAAGGAAATATTTGTAGAATTGCTAATTTTATTATTAACAAATATAGAGTATTAAGGATCAAACCCATAAGAAAGACGGTCAACTACTGGCACTACTAAAACTTCTTACTATTTAGACTCTCAACAAATTTAAAAAAATAATCTAAACTACAAATTGGTAAAGAAATGCAAATAAAAACTCTTAGGGTATTGGAATCCCTATCTTCTCATACTAATACAACTCTCTGACTAACTGAGTACTAAGACCTTAGTTAAACTATGGCATAATTTTTCTCATGTTTGTGATATCCGCTTTTGCCGGTGTATTAACCTTAGCTATAAGAGAGAAGAGAACCCTTATCATTAGTGTTTTTTGAACCTCTCCTTCATCATCTTCCTTGGCCTCCTTATTGAGCCAACATAAGAATGGATGAACAATACAATTATCTAATCCGAAACTAATCCAACACTAATCTAATCTAAGCTAAAAAAAAAAACTAAGATTTAGTTAAGATCTACATTTTTGTGGGTGTTTTCCTCTCCTTTTTCTCCTGCAATTTTGTTCATGGAAGCCCCTTTTTATAGGGAAAAGGAAAGAATTAAATTATTGCGCAAGTTGCACTGAGTGTGTTTGGAATGCACATTATTTACATCTTATTTATACACACTGATTTACTTGCATCATTAACACATTTTTCAATCACTTTTTTATCTCACATACATTATATCAAAAAAAGTGCTACAGTATTTTTTCACAAAATTATCTCAAATAATTTACTATCCAAACACTGATTTGCTGACACGAATCCAGTCAACAATATGTGGACGGGATTGCACTGCGGGTTCGACCAGATTGTGTGCTCTGTTCTTGGAAAAAACCTTTGTCGTCAATTTGGTTGAGCTTTCTGGTCCAAATCACCTCAATCCATGGATGGGTTTGCTTGAAGTTGTTTCGATTGCAATTGAATTCGGCTGAACAATCCGGCCTTGATGTGTACAATCCATGGACAAATTGCTCCCTTATTTTTCTTCTTAAATTGCTCAACTCTCTGCCTCAAATCCATCTAACCAACCTGGTTTACGCAATTAGAATCTGGCCATAGTTTGTTAAATTAAGCATAATTTTAGTTCTTTATCATTCTTTCCTCGTATGCATTATATTTCTTCACTTGTATGCTTCATTATCATTTCAAATGCACTTCAAATCATCAAAATTCATCCAAACATCTACTCGTTTACTCCAATTGATGATTGAATCAATGTAACCCTGCAAAATCAAGATGTTTAACCACTTAAATATACAGAAATGCAATTTTCCTCACTTTAACGCGCAAAATGTAAAACTCAAATATAACCCCAGTTATTCAATTCGAATTTAAATGAAAACACACTAAAACATAGATAAATAACTATATAAAAATATGCAAAACAAGTATTTATAAGGGTTACAACCTTGAATTGAAACTATTAATGGTTAATGGAAGACAAATAAGGAGTAAAAGGTTTCAAATTTGAAAGTTTCAAATTTTAAATTTGAGATGGTGATAAAGTTTCATTAACAATTAATATGAGTGGTCATAGAGTTTCATTGACAGTTAATATTAAATGAAAGTGGGACTAATCAATTGATCCATCAGAATCTGGCCTTCGCAAATGAATCTTTAATTAAGAGGTAAAAAGGGCTACAACCTTGAATTGAAACTATTAACCGTTAATAGAAAATAAATGAATCTTTGATTAAGGAGTAAAAAGGTTTCAAATTTGAGAGTTTCAAATTTTAGATTTTAGATGGCAATAGAGTTTCATTAATAGTTAACATGAATTTATATATTAAAACAATGAAAAAACCAGGAAAAAGAAAAAAGAATGAAAAGTATGGAAGCTATTTAGGTGGTCTCCACTAAAAATTCACTCTACAAAACACATACGCACGCACATGTTCTGTCAAGCCTTTCCTTAATTGCTTCTTCAAAATCCCATCGTATAATCCAGGTCCATAAGAGCCCCTCGCAACCCAAGTCAAGTAGTTCATTAGTTCTAGCTAATGAAATTTTTAAAATCATTAAAGGTCCAATTAGGTCTAATTCTAGCCCCCATATTTCACTATTGGAGACAATGTCACTAAAATCAGCAATGAAAAACTTGTTTTTGCCCCACAACTTACTTCCATTCCCCAAATATACCACCATGATTGAAAATCTTTTATAGCAAGCATTTTCAACTCGAGCAAAATGGGCAAATAGAATTTTGTCAATTTTTATTTCTTTTGGGTAAAAAATAAAAAAACCCCCTGTGGTAAACCTGTTTTACAAATAAGCCCCATATGGTTTCAAAATATATAACACGGTACCTCATATTTTGAACTAAATTGTAAGCCTGACGAAAATCGGTAAAATTAACGGGCACTGATGACTGTTGTTTCGCCATTTTATTAGCTTAAAAGAAAGCTACCACACAGCTCCAACTCTTTCTCTCTCTCGTACACTCATATATCATATTCATATAACATTACGAGCTCTTCCTTTCAAGCTTCAACTTACTCCCCCATTCAACCATTTGATTATTACCCATCGTTTTCACCTCATTCTCGCAAAACCCATAGTTAGTATTATTTCTTTCATTCTTTTGTCTTAGCCCTATAAATTCAAGGACCAGTTGGAGAGATTATTCATCCATCCAGAGATTGAAGCAGCAGCAAGAAAAGAAAGAAGAAAGAAAACAAACGATGATGCACAGTAATAGGTGCAATGGTGGTTCTCATGGAAACATGGCTGGGCCATGTTCATGTGGTATGTTTCACACTCATCAAGCCAATTCCTTCTCCATGCTCTTCTCCATGCCTAACCATGACAATAAACCCTTTGATAAAACTGCTAAAATGTATCATCTCCGCCATCTTCCTCTGTTGATTGCACTCTTTCCTTGGGCACCCCTTCTACTCGTCTAACCAATAATGACACCGAAAAAGACACTCTTCTTACATGTCTAACTTCTATTGGGATATTTTACAATCCAAAAATTCGTCCAATTCTCCCCATCATTCGTCCCACAAAAGTAGCCAGGCAAACAGTCACACCAACTCCAGTTATGGTAGGTGCTGCTTCAACGGAAAATGTTCATATATCGTCCTTGAAGGAGGGTGGGACATGTTCTTCAGCACCAGTATTTGAGGTTCAATCAGTCTTGAAGAATGGGCTGGGGGTTTCTCTGCAACACCAGGTACAATCTAGTGCGGTTGTTGAGGGCAGCTTCACGGAGTTTTATTGGGAGGTTCAAACATCATTGGGAGTTTTATTGGGGGCTAAGGGGTCGAATAGTAATGTTTGCTAAAAATTAAGTATAAAGAATTTGTTTTTAGCTTTCAGTATATCAGTCCCGTTAATTTTACCGATTTTCGTCAGGTTTATAATTTAGTTCAAAGCATGAGGTATCGTGTTGTATATTTTGAAACCATAGGGGGCTTATTTGTATAATAGGTTTACCACAGGGGGCTTTTTTGTTTTTTACCCATTTCTTTTTTACAAGTAACCGGAAGACCACCAAATTTTTAATGAGATTAACTAAAAATAGATCATCATAGCCAATTTGTTTTTTAAAACTATGCATAAATTTATTTTGGTTTTTGGTTTTACTTAAGAAGATAATGTCAAAGGAGTGAAGACGAATGGCCTCCTTAAGATAGGAATTGTCAAGGGAACTACCTTCTTAGATAGGGAATTATCAAGGGATGCTCAGCACCAATTCTTATAGAGAAGAAAGAACTAAAATATAATGTTTATAGAGGAAGAATAATAATATAATAATAAATGAGACAGAAAGTAAGACGGAACATTCGTTACGCACTCACTGCCACTCTCAAAGTAGTAGTAGATGACAATTCAAATTCAATTGTGTAAGCCAATTTCGACTTTGATTTCAGTTGTTTAATCCATACATGCCTAAAAATGTTTTGCTTAAGCAGTTTAATCAACCGAATCTATGTATGTATTGTGATTCCAAAGTCGCTATAAACATATTTACGGGCCTTGAGAGCAAATTAGACGAAGATCAACATGCTCACGATTTTTTGGTTTTGCAATCCAATTTCCTAATCTATTTCCACCAAAACAAAAAAAAAAGGATAAAAAGAACAACATCATAGCAAGATTTTTATGTTGTTTTAATTTAGGATAAAATATAGAAAAGTCCTTTGAGATTAAGCAAACATACAGAAAAGTTCCCTATAGTTTCAAAACATACACTCCGATACCCCATGACTTGAACTAATTTAAAAAAGCGACGAAAATCATCTAAATAAATGGGTTTGAAGTACACGAGCCATTTTTATGAGTATTTGTCCTGGAAACAAACAAATTTTCAGTTGATATACCTATTTTACCCTTAGAATTATAATACAAAAAGTTTCTTATAATTTCAAGGGAAAATCGCCAATTTAGTCCTTAAACTTTTTTTTTCCGTCAATTTAGTCCCTATACATTATTTATAGCCAATTTAATCCCTAAACTTATATTTCGATTCCAATCAAGGAGCTTAGCGGCGGCGCCACCGCATAATTTCCATCGGCTTCCAAATCTAGGAACCCAAAAGGGGTATTTTAGGGACTTTCATATTTTTCATATTTCTCTTTGACTTTCATCTTATGATACTACTACTGCTGTGGAAGAAGTGGTGCTACCGGAGGAGGAGGAGGAGCCAAGAGGAACACTACTACTGCTGCTGCTGCTACTACCAGTACTACTAGGAGTAGTGGAGGTATTGGAGGAAGTGGAAAGGAGACCGGTGCTGTTGAAGCCAATGTAGTAGGCCGAGGAGTCATCCGGCTTGAAGAGGCCGTAGTTCCTCTCGGAGGTTGGGCTGGACTTCATGTTCTCGTTGAAAAGGGCGAAGACATAGATGTTCAAGTCGGCGTTGGGCCTCATGGGCGTCCCCTTCTTCCCGCACACCAGCTTGTTGATGAGGTTGCCGTTGTACTTTTTGGCATTCTCCGGAGTGGCTCCGGCCTCGTCGGTGTCCCCCTTGGAGGGCCAGCCGGTCTCGAAAATACCCTTTTGAAGAACGCAGCTTGCATGTAAATTTTTTTTTTTTTTAAGTAATTTGTTAAATAGCCTGCCTGAAACCCGCTTGCGGGTTTCCTGAGTGAATAGACGAAAATACCCTTTTGAAGAACGCAGCTTGCATGTAAATTTTTTTTTTAAAGTAATTTGTTAAATAGCCTGCCTGAAACCCGCTTGCGGGTTTCCCCCTTATGTAAAATGACTAAAAGCTGCGTTTCTGTTCTATTTATATCAAACACATACTCTCAAACCCTCACCTGAAGGGTGAGGATGAGAGGGGAGGTTTGCTGGGCATCCTAGGGCCCTCCGATGGGCATGTGCAACTCAACGCAGCTTGCATGTAAAAAAAAATTTTTTTTTTTAAGTAATTTGTTAAATAGCCTGAAACCCGCTTGCGGGTTTCCTATAGCGGAATCCTGAAGGAATTCAACTTTGCAAAGCATTCGTAGTTGGTGCGCCCATAATCTAAGCCGGCCCTTCTTCGCTGAGCACCAGACAAATTGTATGTGGTGCGTAATGATGAGTAAGGCTTTGGATATACTATATATTAGAACTATACATTATACAATGCCAAAGCAGCTATGGCACGCACCCCATTGATCTTCTTCCCAGCACTTTAACAAGCTTTTGAAGGAGATAACTCTGCATAATTCATCTCGATGATGAGGAGGCAAAGATGGAAATTCTTTAATTTTTTTACAAAGTTTCGAGGAAACTGGGGTTTATTATAATTGTTTACACTGGAATAAATACAGTAGGGGTGGCGGGATCGACGATCCCGGAGTTGGGCTGGAAAAGGACGAACTCCAGAGGGACCTGCTTGGGGTTGGCCTTGTAGGCGAAGTAGGGGTAGGCATTGATGAGGAAAGGGGAGCCGGTCTTGAGATGGAAGTTGAGGATGGCAGTCAAGCAGGGGGTGAGGTCCGGGTGGAACCTGCAGGCGAAGGGGAGGTAGGAGGTCTGGAGGACGGCGAGGGAGTGGGCAGTGGTGATGGAGACCTTGTCCTGGAGGTTGAGGGAGCAGAGGACGGAGTAGACGCTCTGCATAGCCCGGAGTAGACGCTCTGATGTGATAGAGGAGAGGGAGGTGTCGTTGAAGGTGAAGACCATATAGAAATAAGATGAAAGTCAAAGGGAAATATGAAAAATATGGAAGTCCCTAAAATACCCCTTCTGGGTTCCTAGATCTGGAAGCCGATGGAAATTATGAGGTGGCGCCGCCGCTAAGTTCCTTGATTGGAATCGAAATATAAGTTTAGGGATTAAATTGGCTATAAATAATGTATAGGGACTAAATTGACGGAAAAAAAAAGTTTAGGGACTAAATTGGCGATTTTCCCTAATTTCAAATCATACAATCTAGTATCTTGTCGTTTAAACTAATGTGAAAAGTTGACAAAAATCATTTAAATTAACTAGTTTGATGTTGCTTGACATGAAAAATAATTTTTTAAATCAAAATTTTAATTGATATACCTATTAAGCCCTTAGAATTCATAAAATTTTCAAAAACAATCCAAAACGTCTAAATACAACTCATCTTATTTCTATATATAAAATAAATAAAAAAAATTTCCAAACAAAACTCACCTTTTTTCTATAAATAAAATAAATAAATAAAAAGAAAAGATTTTTATGTTGTTTTAATTTATGCCAAAGTAGCAGAAGCAGAGAGCAAGGAAAGTCGCGGAGCGTGGGTTGGAAAAGCAGATGGACTGGAGGAGGGGACAGCAGAGAACGTATATACTATAAATAAAAGAAAAGAAACACGCGCTGCACGTTGGAATGAACATGGGTAGTAGGGTAGTAAGATGCGTGATGGGGGTGCTGGGCGTGAGGGATGTAGGCGAGTGAAGGAGACGGAGATAATCCCCGATCCAAACGACTCCGTGCCCTAATTTACCAGATCAACATAAAACTCCTTCTCATACGCTCTCTTTCCCTCACCTCTCATCTCAAGCGAGTAGTAGTAGCGGCAGTGGTAGAAGAATAAGAAGCGAGGGAAAGCAGCAGTCCACGCCCAGACCCCTCGCGTGGATTTGCAGTTTTTTTTTTCTTTTGCGCAGATTCAATCTCTCTCTCTCTCTCTCTGGAGCGTCGAGTATAACAAACCGGTAGGTAGCTACTACTCTCTAACTCATTCCTCACTCCCACACCCCGACTCCACCGACCCCCCCTCATAGCCCTTTTCTTCTCAATTCTCCCTGCTCCCTTTCCGCCGTCCTCCTCCTCCTCCTCCTCCTCCTCCGCCCCTCTCCCGACCATAATACTCCGAAACCGTGGTTATTTGTCTACCGCTAATAATATAAACTAAGTAGTTACTTATTTCCATGACCGAATGAGGATTGATGCCTAACATGTCTTTATCATTCTATGCTTGCTCCCTCTGTTGGTGGAATTTTGCTACTATAATTATACTCCTTCTACTGCACAGCCTCCAGTCCACTCTTATATATTTGTTTATAGTACTAGTTAATTAGTCTAATTAAGCTCGCTCCATTAGCCCTATGAATATTGTTTTTTAATTAAGCAAAAAAAAAAAAAAAGGAAAGGACTATGGATATTGTTAGCGGTGGAAGAATCATGCTTCCACCGCCGTGGTTTTTTTTTTTTCAATTGTTAGCAAAATCTGGAGGAGTTATGTTGTGCCTAAACCAGGAGAAACTGCAGCAGCTTCACGTAAACGTTCTCTATTCATTTCATTTCTGCTTGTGAACATCACCCGAATCACATAAAAACTCGGATAGAACCTGCAGTCAACATTTTAATCTAGTGTCTGTGTCAGCTTATCACTGGTGCTGCCATTGGCTCTTATATCTTTCGCTTCTATTTACTTGTGGATGTGGCTGGAATGATCAATCTCTGTATTTTCATTCCTTTTCTTGCACCGTACCTCAACTCAGACCTTCATAGCGCCCGCCCCCCCAGCTACTTTTGCAATACTTTGATATTTTCTTTTTCCAAGAACCACTTCAATCCAAAATAAGAATTTCAAAATCTAAGTTCATTTCAATCAATATGATGGTCTAAGTTTTCGCGGATACACACTGCCAAGAGTTTAGACACGCGTACTTGGATGGTATATACTTAATATGAGCTGTCAATATGATGTCTCAGAAGAATACTTTGCCTCATCTCAAGTCAAAATACCTCACTAGTGTTTAACAACATATCACGCAGATCCCATACTGGCATCCATGTTATATTCTGTGGACATTGCACGCAGCTTTTAGCCTAAGCATGGTCTCGTTTGAGACATTAAATGGTAGTATATGGGGAATTATCCATGTCCTGTATCTTTTAAGTAGCTTGTTTCAAACTATGGATTGGTTTGGAATGTTGCTAGCTTATTACTAAAATTACGATGTGAGCAGTTGACATCTCATGCATTCTACTACCAAAAGCACATGCTTCAGTGTGGGGACTTTGACTACATTCTATCTTGAATTGATTGCGTCTCGGATTCTGTCTGCACTTATATTTCCAGTTTCGGTTACTTGGTTGATTAATCAGGAATTATTATCTTATCAACTCACCGTTTTCATTCTCTCTTTCTTTCTTTCTTTCTTTTCTTCCATTAAGATGAGCACAACTTGTGATGTTCGAGGGCCTCTTCAAGTTTTGTAAATTTCCAAAACTGGCAGAATCATTTGCTTCCTAGAAAAGTTCATTGCATTTGTCTTATTGGCAACTGTATTCTCTTCTATTATTGGTTTCTTGCAAGAAGGAACAAGATGAACAAGCAATTTCATTTTGGAAATCTGCAGACTATAGAGGCTTGAACTGGATCAATATGTTCGGGTTTCTTGGGTTTTAGGTTATCTGTTGACAACATTTTTATTTTTATTTTTTTACCCCTTGCTGTCTTTCTTTCTATACATTTAAAGAATAGCTTTTATTTCATGGGGACTTTAAGTTGTCAAACTGGAGTCTATCCAAGTCCTTTTTTCTTTCTACTTTTTCTTCACGACAAATATCACTATACTATCTAAAATTTTCAGATAATTTGAAGGTGCTGGGAATTCTGATTCAGATAATTTGTGGGACTAGATAGTTGCCCATTTTCTATAGTTATGTCAGAATCAGATGCAAATTTCATACTACTATGTGCAAGGGATAGCTTTCTGCCCCATCCAACTGTAGATTTTTGTGCTACCTGTGGTGGATGTGACAGCCATTTAATACACAATAGAAGTTCATCATTCTCTAAGATCTGCAAGGAATTTCAGAGATCTTATCATCTAGATGGCAATTTGGTGCAATGATAACATTAGATGCAAAATGGTTTTTTGCCTTTTGATATGGATTTCTTCATGTAGTTGGCTTTATTTATTCAAGTAGCCTTCATAATACTATTAAATATATTGATTAAATGTTAGAAACATTTGTTTGGCAGAGTTAATTTCCAAGTGGATTAGGTGTTGGCACTTTCTGTGTAAGGGAAAGCTTATTTCTTAATGAAGGCTGTATATTTTCTTGTTTGGTCAATGGAAAAAACTAAATTTTTCTAATTAAACTTTTATTCAAGATTAAAGATATAGTTTTATCTAATTCCATAATTAGAAATTGGATGTATGAAATTGTATTAAGTTTTGTGATACCTGTGCATACCCAATTCTTATGCTTGTGTGTATCAAAAGTGTGGCCACGATCTATTTTATTGGGTTGTCAGGAGAAGAGCTAATAGAACTACTTTGCACCTCGACTAGTGCAGGATGTTCTTAAGAAACCAAATGCTTAGGTGTTGTTTGGTCACACAGTCATTGTCTGTTATGGTGTTCTCGTTTGCAAAATGTGAAATTGGTATTGGGGAAGGGGGGAGGGGGACATTGTTTGATTGCTGTTTATCTTTTATACTTATGAAAAATGTTTGCAATGCATAGACCGAAACTTTAAATGGAAAATAGGTGTTTCCGTCTTTTGTGCATGCAGATAGTGCAAATTAATGAGATTTCATCCTTGTGTCGTAATGGAAACAAAAGTGCAGTTATCTTTTAACCACCTTCTCTCCATATTCTCCATTGCCTTTCCTTCCTAGCCATGCTCTGCCATCCCCCATCCTTCAAACTTTTCCTTAATGTCTCCTTCCTCTCAATTCCCTCTTCCTTGCGTTTGCTCTCTGCCTCCACAATCCAAATTCCTTGTTTATAACTCCAACCAAAAGTCACCCCCATTCCCTCCGCGTGAAACTCACCTCTTCTTCCCTTATTTCTGTTGTCTGAGTTTTCTCTCCTGCCTCACCCTTCTCTGTCCCCAGCCTGTCGCCCCCATGCGCTTGTCAATTGGACCACCCTCCTCCCATTCTCCACTTCCTTCACGCTTGTTGCTCCTTTAGCAGCCCTGCTTTGACAAACATTCACTTCTTTTCTAAAGGGCAGCCTTCCATATTGTTTAATGAGGCACTAAATGGTGTCAATTGTAATTTCAGGACAGAAGGAAACTAGTTAAATTAGTCCTATGAAGCTTTCACTAGAGGAGAATCTAGATGAAAGAAAGAGTAATGGAAAAAGTTAAAAAAAAGAAAAGGAGGAAAGAGAAAGGAAAGATGACATAAAAGAAAAAGCTAAATGGAGGGGGAAAAGCAGATGAATGAGACAGAAATTAGAAACTATCGGTGACTGCGAACATGTTTTCTCATGTTGGTTTTTGGACAATAATCTGTTTCATGCATGTATATAATTATATTTTCCTGGAAATGAACTCAAAATGTGTTATCTATGATAAGCACGACAAACAGGAAAATGGTCTCTTATGTTGTTTGGTAGAGTTTGCTGAGTTGTTATCTTGTCTTGATCTTATTACTCTGTTATTCTTTTTTATTGGATTTTGGATTTGGGTCTTAGCCAGATGTTAGGGAGAGGAAGACCATCTTTGGCTATTACAAGTGGGGATTGGAGTTGGATAAGCTCTCTCTTTTCAAAATGCTTGGGCTTTGAACGTTGCAAAATTGGAGCACTTGGGTTGTTAGACGGATGTACGAGTTAAGATTTCAGCCAGAATGTAATGGGGTCGGCTTTTCCTCTAAAGTACTTTGGTGGAAACGGCTTACAACATGTCATTTTGTTTCCTGTTCCAAATTCAGAAGCTTTTTTTTTTTTTTTGAAAACCATACGAAGTATGAATCTTGAGCTTTACAGACTCAATCCAGAAGAATAAAAGGAAGATTCTTGGAAAGTGACACATATTGTCAATGGCCTTACCTTCTAAGCTAATTTTCTTCCTGACTGAGGAATAAGGAAATGCTTGTGACAATAGCTGCAGGAGAAATAAAAGATTTTTTTCTTGATACTGAGTTTCTGCTGTGTACTATTACTTAGTTAACTCTTCCGTTCTAATATCTCGATAACATTTTAAATTATTGAATGGTTATGCTAGTCATAATTATATGCTGCATTATTTGTTTCCTCCCTTTGGAAGCTAGCCAAAAAAAAAAAAAAAAAGTCTACACATGAGCATGAAACTTGCTTTTGGTGATTGATTTTAAAAAAGATGATTTCCTGTATTTTTTGAATAGCCTCTATTTGCTCTCGCTTATGTGTATGTTTCTCTGTTCAGGTATGTATAAATAGTACTATTATTGACTGGGAAAACAGGGTGTGCCATGGATATAGACCTTAGATTACCTTCTGAAGAACATGATAAGGAGGATGAAGAGTCAAATGGACTTGCTCATATGCTTGATGGTGAAGAAGAGAAACCTCATAACGAAGATGGTGTGAGTGGAAACATGGTGGATATCGAGGATAAATTACATGCACAAAATGGAGGGGGCATGATTATTCCTGTGGGAGACTTTGTGGAATCGAAAGAGGATATCTTGCTTGAGCCCCTCGCTGGAATGGAATTTGAATCACTTGCAGAAGCATATGCCTTCTATCAAGAATATGCCAGATCTACAGGATTTAATACTGCAATACAGAACAGCAGACGTTCCAAGACATCCAGGGAATTCATTGATGCTAAGTTTGCATGTTCCAGGTATGGAACCAAACGTGAATACGAGAAATCTGTAAATCGCCCGCGCAGTAGACAAGGGAACCGGCAGGATTCTGAAAATGCCACAGGTCGAAGAGCATGTGCCAAGACAGATTGCAAAGCAAGCATGCATGTTAAGAGAAGACCCGATGCAAAATGGATTATACATAGATTTGAGAAAGAACATAACCATGAGCTTCTGCCTGCCCAGGCTGTGAGTGAACAGACACGAAAGATGTATGCTGCAATGGCAAGACAATTTGCTGAGTACAAAAATTTGGTTGGCCTCAAAAGTGACTCAAGAAGCCCCTTTGAGAAAAGCCGGAATCAAGCAATTGAAGTAGGAGATGCAAGCTGTTTGCTAGAATTTTTCAATCAAATGCAGAGCACAAATTCCAACTTCTTTTATGCAGTTGAGATAAGTGAAGATCAGCGTCTTAAGAATTTCTTCTGGGTTGATGCCAAAAGTAGGTATGACTATGCTAATTTCAGTGATGTGGTTGCTTTTGATACTACCTATGTTCGAAGCAAGTATAAGATGCCTCTGGCTCTTTTTGTGGGGGTCAATCAACACTATCAGTTCATGCTACTTGGATGTGCTTTAGTATCTGATGAAAGTGATACTACTTATTCTTGGGTAATGAGAACATGGTTAAAGGCGATGGGTGGTCAACCTCCAAAATTGATTATTACTGATCAAGACATGGTCTTGAAGTCCGTTGTGTCAGAGGTTTTTCCTTCAGCTTACCATTACTTTTTTCTCTGGCATATAGTTGGAAAGGTAACTGAAACACTTAGCCATGTCATTAAACAAAATGAGAAATTCATGGTGAAGTTTGAAAAATGCATTTACAGGTCATGGATGGAAGAGGAGTTTGAGAAAAGATGGTTGAAGTTGGTTGATAGATTTGAGCTTAAAGAAAATGAATTGGTGGAGTCTTTATATGCAGATCGCACAAAATGGGTGCCCCTGTTTTTGACGAATGCATTTTTGGCTGGAATGTCTACTGTTCAGCGATCAGAGAGCGTGAATAGTTTCTTTGACAAATATTTGCACAAGAAGACTACTGTGCAAGAGTTTGTCAAACAGTATGATGCAATATTGCAGGACAGATATGAAGAAGAAGCAAAAGCAGATTCTGATACATGGAACAAGCAACCTGCATTGAAGTCTCCATCCCCATTTGAGAAGCATGTAGCCAGCATTTACACCCATGCTGTGTTTAAGAAATTTCAAGTTGAGGTCCTAGGAGCAGTTGCTTGTATTCCTAAAAGAGAGAGGCAAGAGGAGATGACCATTACTTTCAGGGTTGAAGATTTTGAAAAAAATCAGGAGTTCTTTGTTACTTTGAATGAATTAAAGTCTGAAGTATCTTGTGTATGCCATTTGTTCGAATATAAAGGTTTTCTTTGTAGGCATGCAATGATTGTTCTTCAAATTTGTGGGATTTCCACCATTCCATCCCAATATATATTGAAACGGTGGATGAAAGATGCCAAAAGTAGGTATTCAGTAGGAGAGGGGTCTGAACAGTTGCAATCAAGGGTGCAACGATACAATGAACTTTACCAACGGGCTATGAAGCTGATTGAAGAAGGCTCACTATCCCAAGAGAGTTACAACTTTGCACTCCGTGCACTTGATGATGCTTTTGGGAACTGTGTTAGTGTAAACAACTCTAATAAAAATATTGCAGATGCCGGAACGTCAACCACACCTGGACTTCTCTGCATTGAAGAAGATGAGCAAAGTAGAAGCATGGGCAAGACAAATAAGACAAATAAAAAGAATAGTACAACCAAGAAAAGGAAGGTACATTTTGGATGCTCAGTAATCTATTTTCTTTAATTTTAGAATTAATATAAAATGCGATTCCTGGATTGCAGGTAAACTCGGATTCTGACATCATGACTGTTGGGGCATCAGATGGCTTGCAACCATTGGTTTGTTCTCTAGAATCTTGTTGGACTGCCATATTAATTGGCCATTTCTTTCTGTCTATTGGCTTAATCATCGAGGACATTCCAAAATACTGTCTCCATGAACCTACATTGATCATTCTATTTTTTTAGATGATAAATCTTAAATCACTAGCAGCGTTGAAAAATTTTTAGACAAGGGGGTCCAGATGCTTAGCACTAAGCATGTTTGAAGTTCTTTTGAGTTGTTATTGTCCATGCGGTGAAGATCTAGGTCCACTCATCTAAAGATTTTTTCACAGTGACAATGCACCTAACATTAATCCTTTCGTAATTGCTACTTTGCATCTGATATGTTGATTATTTGTCTAATTTTGTAGGAGAAGTTAAGCTCAAGACCAGTTAATCTTGATGGCTATTTTGGCCATCAACAGGGTGTTCAAGGAATGGTATGATATAAATATAATGTGCTTTGGTATGTGTTAGTAGAATGGTAGTTGTGCTTTTCTAAGTTGGTAGATTGTCTTTTCGGCAGGTACAGCTGAACTTAATGGCTCCTACTCGAGAAAATTACTATGCAAACCAGCAGACCATTCAGGGGCTAGTATGTCATTGTCATTATAACTGGTATACATTAGGATTGCTGTTGAAGGTATAAAGTATAAATTGTATTCATTCTGGTTTTATTCTGCAGGGACAGTTAAATTCTATAGCACCTTCGCATGACAGCTATTATGGAAGTCAGCCAACCATACATGGGCTGGTATGTGTTTTTTCTTGTTCTCAATGTTTTTGCTTATATAACCTGAACTTGGAATCACATTTAGCATCTGTGCTTGCAGGGGCAGATGGACTTCCTCCGTGCTTCAAGTTTCACATATGGCATTCGGGTCAGTGCTAGAAAAATGACATGAAAATATTGTGGGATATCTAATATCTACTGTATGTATGAGATACTTACTTTTCCTCCTCCTTTTGCAATTTTTTTTTTTGGTCAGGAGGAGCCGAATATAAGATCCACACAGTTGCATGATGACGCTTCTAGACATGCATGAGGAACTTTTTTAATGCTAAGGTAGTAACTGTTGTACCTCAGTTTTGGCATATGTATATCCTGTTGGACCTAAGCTCGTTGGGTGCAAGGCATCGACTTATCTGAATAGGGGTAAAAACCTTGTTGTGACATTAAATTCTGTGTAGCACTTGAAATGCTTTGGACATTCTGGACGTGGTCCTCTATTGTTGCTGAAGATTAGACGACTTGTTTTGGTGTCTGTTGAATAATGAGGCGAGCAGTGATATATTATTAATTGTGAAATGTACTTGTGATTGACTCAGGGTATCTAAGGCACTTTGTAGTTTGAAACTCTCAGAACTCGTACTTTTCTAAACCAGTTAGATTTGGGAATACGAGCAGTCAATTGTAAAGGAGGAAAAGGAGACTGTAGGCAAGAAGAGTCTAGTTGAATAGCCAAGGGAGAGTAATGATAAAAGTCATCGTAATTGGTAGGTGATCATCTGGTTGTTGACAATTGAAGATGCTAATTGCTAACTATGCTTGTCGCAGCTTCTTCGCGATGGTTGTTCATTGTGTTCAGTATGAACAGAAGTCAAGTTTGCTCGTTTTTTCTTAATAGTTCATATTAACGTCAGCATTTTCCTGTATTTAATTAAGGCAAAACTCGTGCACGGGGAGGATAAAAATTTTCAAGGTAATCAGTCAATGTGTGTCTGCTGCTTTTCTAAGATGATGATCCATCCCAATGTTTGCCTTGCCTATAATTTTCATTTTCATGCCAGAAATGCTCTTACAGGTTGGAAAGTTTGCTCAAACTATCCTTCGGCTCCCTCCCTTTAGTAATTTTCGTCATCTTGTCAAGCACAACACAGTAATCATATTAAAAAAACTCTTTCAACACGTAATTGAAAAGCATCGCCATCCTTTGTATTAGGCGAACGCCTTCTATTCTATTTTACCAGCAAATGCCGAGCAGGCACTTGTGCACGGCGGTTGATAGTTGGCACTAATTGATAGTTGATAGTACGGGTTTTGTCAAAGGCCTTCAAAATTTTGCTTCTGGGGCTTTTCTATGCGGGTATTTGATGATTGCAGCTAATTCCTATGAGGCTTTTGTAATTACACTTTTATCCTAATTTTACTGTTTAATTAACTAACCTTGGTCAAAATATGGGAAAAAAAAGTACACTTTTAGTCCTCAAAATTTGGAGAGTTAGATGTAATTAGTTCTTAATGTTTCAGCCAAAATAAATGTAATCTACAAAATATTTAATTTCAACGAAATTGGTCCTTAATGTTTCAATCTAAACAAATGTAGTCATTACAGAATATAAGTTGACCAAATTGGTCCCTAATGCTTTATAAAATGAATGAAAATTTGTTAATAGATTACAAAAATACAAGTTTTATAAAAAAAAATCACAAAATTTTAATAACACTAAAAAGATATAGAGCACTTGTGACTAAATGAAGATGATCACTGGATATGCTAATTTTATAATGTGTACATGAAAGTATATACAAATGCATGTACACATTTAATTCTTAATGTACTTTATTAGAAAAAGGGGAAGTTCAAACAGCTAGGGTCCAGTTAGAGGAATTGTTAGGGAGAACGCATAAATTGATTGACAAGATTAATAGCTAATGATTGCTTGTTTTGCATATTTTTCTATGATTTGTTATGTGTGTTTTACTGTGTTTTTATTTAAGTTCAAGTCAAATAATTAGGATTTTAGTTGAATTTTACAATTGGCGGCTAAAGTGAGGAAAATTGCATTTCTTCAGAGCTAAGGTGGTAAAAATTTCATGTTTTATAGTTTTTAATGATTCAATCATCAATTGGAATTAAGTGAGAAGATATTTGGATGATTTTTGATGATATGAAGTGATTTCAAGAGTACATGAAGTGCAATTGAAGAATAAATGAAGTGCAATAAAGAAAAAAAAAAGAGATCCACAAAATTGATGTATTTTGTTTTCTGACCAGTTAGGAGTATGTTGGGCATAACTCAACACTTATACCTCCAAATGACTTGATTCTTGGTCTATTGGAAAGCTAATTCAATGGATTAAAACTTTTGTGTTTTGCATAAGAGTTGATTCAAAGTTCTTCATTGAAGTATTTGCACATCAACTCGGTGGCAGAAGTAAAACAAGATTCGAATCAAAGTGATGCAGAGAAAGGCAATCCATCCATAGATTCTCTTGTGCATCTGCGGATTCTAAGGCTGAATTCAAGGTAGAACACAACCTCAGAAGAACAAAAATGGAGCAACACAATCCGGCCAAACTGAGGACACAATCCGTCTGCAAATTTTGGATGGTTGCAAGCTCGCAATTGCACAACTTTTCAACCTTTCTTCTTCCTATAGAGAGGACACCATGGACGAAACAAAGCAGCTTTGGAGGTTTGAAAGGGAAGACAAAATTACAAAAATGTAGACCTAAACCAGAAAAATTCCTAGTTTCTTAGGTTAGATTAAGTTTGTTTGCACTTGTTAGTCATTTTATATACAACCAAGCTTGGATGAAGATGAAAATTGAAGAAAAGAGCTTGAAGACTCATTAGTGACAAGGGGTTTTTAATTTTTCAACTCTCTATTTCTTGTATTTGAATTCAAATGCCTAGTTGTAATACAAAGTTATTATTTCCTTTTGTGTTTTGTTATGTTTCATATCTTGGGTTTGGATGAATTATCTATGATTATTATGTGATATTTTCTTAATTATTTGATGCTATTATCTTGAACAAGTTATTTAGCACTTTTCTTATATTAATTATAACTAAATGGTCATCAATTATGATTATCTGAAGATATTGAATTATCAATAAAACTTGGGATTTAATATTAGTTCAAGGAAGTTCTGAACTTAAAGAGTACATTCACGAAAGTAGATGTGCATATTTGTAACTTTTGTGACTTATTCCATATAATTTCATAAAAACAAAAGAGCCTATGCTTAGTTTTAAAGCAAATTGCGCGAAATATCGCTAAACTATTATAATGTGCCACTTTTGGTCACTAAACTAATTTCTTTGCCAAAAATATCACCGAACTAGTAAATTTGTAATGTCTAGATCATTCCGTCTATTTATGCCGTCAAGAGAGACGGAAGCTCAATTTTTCAGGGGCAAATTCATCTATACAGCTTTTTGTGCGAGCTTGCTTCCACAAAAAAAAAAAAAAAAATGAATTGCACAAATTCAAATTTATATTGTTTTTTTTTTCATAATGGCACATTTCAAATTTATATTGTTAGATAGACCAAAAGTAGACTCTTGTACATAAACTAGAGACCAACAAGCTACTAGTCATAAACATCGTATAGTTTCTCCTAAAGTTACAAAATTGACAGTACTAACGGTCCTTAATACCTAACCATAGATACAAACACAGCTTAGATTGATGATCCACTCACTTCAAAACCTTTGATGCTTTTCAAAATGGAGCTGGGTGTCCCCAAAATAGAAAAAGTCAACAATGGACTGATACCAGGGTATCAAAGATCGGACGGATTGTATTCTTGAAAAGATTCAAATACGAATCACAAAGGTCCCTAATTGCTAACAATGGTTGCCTATCCCCAGGTATATTGGCGAACTAGCTCAGCAAAACCCTAACCATCAAAACCTCAATATATATATATATATATATATATATATATATATATATCCAGCCAAGTTGACATCCCGGCTACAGCCACGGTGACAAAGTCTGGTGGAAGCATCCTGAACTGCAGCCAAAAAGCTAGGCTGGCTGAGTGGATTAAAGGCTCTGGGAGGCCATGAAAGCCCTTCAATTTCAGTCCAGATTGAGAACCATGTTGACTAACAACTTGGAGGCCGTTAGAGTGAGATCCAACAGCATAGTCACGATTCAAGTTGAACAAGTGAGCAAAGATTGAGTGGGGAGTCTGGTAACTTGAGGTTTCGGTTGAAGGATTATTGATGAGGATCGACGAGGGAGCGCTACTTATTGCTAGCCATTTAGGATTAGCGAAGGAGAAGGAGAGTCGCAGAGGATAGGCAGTGGTTAGCTTGTTCAGAGAAACAAAGGTAGGCTTTCGGAGGATTAAGGTTTGAGAGGCAATCTTGACTAGAGGTGCTATCGAGCCGAGTCGAACTCGAGTAGCACCGTACTCGAGCTCGAGCTCGATCAAAATTTGTGCTACTCGAGCTCGATCGAGTAAAAAAATTTGGACTCGAGCTCGACGCGATGAAATAAAACTAAACTCGAGCTCGAGTAAGCTCAAGTAAATATCAAGCCCGAGCTACTCGAATTCGAGCTCGAGTTTTGAAATAAATCTATAATTTTTTTTAAAAATATATAATATATAATATAATATAAATAAAATATGAAAGCTCGATTAAGCTCGGCGAGCACTCGAGTACTTATTTCTTGAGCTCGAATCTTGACTTGCTAGCACCCCTAATCTTGACCACATAAAAAGCTGTAAGACGAATTTACCCCTAAAATAATTGAGTGTATAGATGAATTTGTCCTTGAAAAATTGAGTTTCTGTCTCCCTTGACAGCATAAATAAACAGAATGACCTAAACATTATAGATTTACTAGTTTGATGACATTTTTGGCTAAAAAATTAGTTTAGTGACCAAAAGCAATACAACACAATAGTTTAGTGACATCTTGTGCAGTTTGCTCTTAGTTTTATAACTATGAAAGTAAGTATGGATTAGCTATAAGTGTGGTACACCAACAAAAGTGGGTATCATGAATATTTGGATACAACAGCGAAAGCAAGTATCACAAGCATTAAAAAATTATGCCATAGCTAACTGAGATAATAGTGTTCAATGATTTGAGAATTGTACTTGCATGAGTAATTGAGGATACCATGATTTGAGGAGCTTTCCATTATTATTTTCTTGCACACTTTTTTTTTTTTTTTGCATAGTTTTACTTTTCTCCAATGTGTTGATAATCTAAATAATAAAGAAATTTGAATAGTATCGATAATTGATTAATCTTTCTTGTGGGATCGATACTCAAATACTCGATGTACTAGTGTACAACCTATATGCTTACAATAGTGGGAGTTTGAATAAAATTAGAGCTTCTCATCAATAGCATAAAAAATTTTCAGATGCATAATCATGATATTAAAATACACCAATCATACTTCGATAGGAATTAGAATCTGGGGAAAGATCATTATGATGAAGAGAAAGAGTAGAATTGGCAGAAAGAAGAGTGAAGAATTTACAAGCTTGCATGTTAAATTGATGAAGTTGATTAGTAATATAGCAAGTTTGAATTAAAACTAATGAAGTGGAGGAACAATTCGTTCAACATGAATATGTTAATAAAAATCACTAAGGTCCT